GAAGGCAACAACCTGTTGTGCTTTGGTACGTCACATTCAGCTAGTAAAAGTGGTTGTGTGCTCATCTGAAGCCTTTCTGGCTGAACCAGAGAGAGATGCACATCTCCGTGCTTACGATAGCCTTCTGGATTTCTATGTTCAATACCCAGTGTCTTCAAAGCAGAGGCCTTGTGTTGGTTGCCGACAAGCAGGACAAGGCTTGGGGTTGCATTGTCTGTGCTATATACATCGTTGAGTAAGCGGAAGGGACGATCAGTGACTTGCAAGCTAATTTCATAATCTCTCTTGGAGAGGCGTATCCAACTGGTGTGATTGCAAGACATGGCGTTAACCAAAAAAAAAAAAAAAAAAAAGCCGGACCCTTGCACGCAGGCAGGGGAGAGTTTATACTCTTGCGCAGACATGCATCGGCCTTAATTGGCTCTACCGGCTAAAATTGGTCCATCCAGATATAACAAGCCCCTCTTGGCCCGCGAGAGACACCAGCCGCAAGTGCTCCATGGCGCAGCCGCACGTTAGCAACATGCGTTCGACTCTTCGAATTCTTCACGTTTGCCGGAACTGCAACTATACTGAACGCAAAAAGTATGACGCTGTCACTGCCGGCTGGCGCCAACTGCTCTACTGCGCCCTTGGACGTAGAGATATCGTCGCGCATGGTATTTGCTCGGATTGCAAAGCAAGACAAAAGAACCGCGGCTCAACAATCATACATGAACATCATCACTACATTCATAAAGATGAGAACAATTGCTCATCTTTACCATCATATTGCAGCGAATTACCGGGCGATAATTTGTTAAACACTGCGCATGGGGAAGTGCAGTGGCCACTGCCGGCAGTAGGGGACATAAAGCCTAGCGGCAACTGAATCTTGTGATGTGGTATGTAGTTCCTGAAAGAGCCGTTACGGGGAAAGTGATTTGTTTGCAAATAGCTACACCCATGCTAGTTAAGTGAGGTGCAGCCTCAAACCTCAAAACCCACATATCAGCGTCAACCGCACGCGCTCAGAGAGTTGCCAAGGCCTACCCTTGGCCATGAGAACATGAGAATGCACTTCCATATTAAATTCTGCCTGCCCCACTGTTGAGAAAGCGAAAGGATCAGTCGCAAGCATGCCATCGAGGAACTGAGAAGGAGTGCATACACTCGCATTATAGGGGGCTGGCGTGGGGATGATCCTGTCCTGAGTCTGCGGTTGCTCAGGTGGTGCTGTCGTTACATCGCCAGTGAAGTTCGGCTCGGAGGGTACATCGGGCAAGTAAGTTGCGGTAGTCGCGCCGATCTCGCTATCAAGTTGCATCGTTGGTGTGTTCGGGCCATCGAGCATGTCCCAGTCTGCGTCGTCGTTTTGTGCCTCTGCGATGATAGTGTCTGAGACAGCCGTTGCGCGCGGAACCGAACCGAGCGACGAGTTGTCATCGATAGTGCTACTGCCGTCTCTCATGTCCAACAACGCCAATGCAGCTCCGTCCTCAACGTAGATGGGCGACGTGGGTTGCGCGTCGCGATCGCTTTCGAGTGCATTCTGGAACTATAGGATGATTAGAATCTGATACCTTTGAGGAAAATAGTTGCATACCGCTCGATTCAAGTCCGGAAGGCGCTGTCCTTTCGGTACATGACACTTGACCATCAGGCGGTGATGCGTGGGCTCATAGTAAAATGCACCAGAAATGACCCTTGCTTTCCGTCCAAGACCGCGGCCCTTGTTCAGCAAACTAGGGCCTCTCTTTCGAGCTGCTTCTTTCTCCTTCTTCGTGTGTGCTTTGTGTACGCGGCTAACAGTCATTGTTTTCCGCCGCGCCGTGTAGTACCGTCTAGTGCTGTGCTGCGACAAAGATGCAGGATTAACTGAATACAAGCAACTTGCGTGAAATGACGCGGGAAGCGTTTTCGGGCGCCAACTATAAGTCCCAGTACGGGGATTTTAGGGAGCCATAGGTGACTCCATACTCACGAGCCTCCCTCGGGGTGGAAGGGCTGTGTATAGGGACAAGAAAGTTACATACTGTACTAAGGTGTGTTACAGCAGTTGCCGATACCCACCGCCATACAAGGCGACATTTTCAGGCATTCGCATTCCCAATTGTGTCCATACTCGCTCTAAATCGCGCCCAAGCATAGTACTGTACTGTAACCCAATAGCTCACAGGGCCGTAAAGTACGTACTGTACGGGTATAGAGAAATCGTACGCCAGGCAGAATGGGTTGGAGAGAAGTCTGCTGTCGACATTGAAAGGGGTGGCCGCAGAGAGGGATTGTGTCGAGGGACGAGAAGAGGGTGTGTCCCGAAAAGGATGTCGCCAGTGGGCGAGGGTGTGACCAGGGGCTGAGAAGTAGGTGCGGCCAGTGGTTGAAAAGATGGTGTTGCCAGGGTATGAAAAGATGGTGTTGTCAGCGGTGCCAGGATACGAGTAGAGAGTGTTGTCAGGGGTCGAGAAGAGAGTGTTGTCAAGGGACGAGGGGTAGGTGTTGTCAGGGGACGATAAGATGGTGTTGCCAGGGTATGAAAAGATGGTGTCGGTGGTGCCAGGATATGAGCAGAGGATGTTGTCAGGGGACGAGAAGTAGGTGTTGTCAGGGCATGAAAAGAGGGTGTTGCCAGGGGATGAGAAGAGGGTGCCACAGAAAAGGGTGTTGCCAGAAAAGGGTGCCGAGAGAAGGCTACAGGTGGAACCAGGATCATGTACAGCCTCCACGGCCGCAAATGGTAGTGCCATCAGAGAAGGTCCATGGAGCCATAACCGGCACCACTCAATTCGCAGCTGCGACGACACTCCTTCAAGGCTTACAGCACACTTGATTCGATGGCAATTACAAGCGATGTTTGCGCCCGTCCGTCCTACCACCAAGACTTGATTTAGAGCTTTGCGAGGTTCATAATAGTTACATAATAGTTACAATAAGAGATCCAATGCCATATGGTTTATTGGCAGGTGCGAGATAAACCGTGAGAACCCAGTACACGAAGTCGTCAAGGTGTAATTACTGCCGGCTCTCATGCGTACAACACCATAATCGCATTCAAAGCGTGCAGTCAATGGTTATCTAGCAACACAGGCTCATGTCCTACCTTGCCTCAACTTCCAAATTGCCCACTCACTGAGGAAGCAGAATGTTCCTGCGAGGACGAGACAAGCACTCATAACGCTCGCCGTCGTAATCGCGACGCTAGACCACTGCCCACCGCGTATGGAATATATATTCAACAGTGTTGAACCAAGTCCCATCAAAGAACTCGTAGTTACTGGCCTTGAAATTATTAGCTCAATTCAAAGAATTGGAGACCGGTGCCGTACTAACAGAAAGATGCGTCGGCTCACCCAGAGGTGATTGCTCCGATGCATGCACCAAAGGAATGCCAACCCTAGTGTGGACAAGCCGCAAAATATTGAGGCAAGGCAGATGTAAGGTATTTTATGGCTGGCGGTCTGGATATATTTTCCAACTTGCCCGGCCTCATCCAGCATGTGTGACCGCTGTATGGCACCGTACGCGGAAGGAAACACGATGTAGCCAGCTAAGAGAGCCCATGTGCAGGTTCCGGCGTATATAGAATGCCAAACGTCTACTTCGTTTGCTGCAATTACCATTTCTTTGTACCGTATCGGCAGTGACGAGCACTGGCTCTTCACTTGCGAGGGCAGGCGATACCCACGTACACCATTCGGAAACATGGAGATGAAGGTCATACAATGCTGCATCATTTCACATACGACGGGGGTTCATATAAACGTATCCGATAGAAGCCGATTTTAGGCGCACTTCTCTACCTACTAGGCACTACATACATTCGGATAGTGGAGGACCGCAGGCGTATAGACCTTCATTATAGTATTTCCTTCGCACTACCGAGACATCTCCCCGCTGCCTAAGCAGAATGGATCCATATCAAAGGCCAACTTCAAGCGTGTACTCGAGCCACTCGTCAGATTCGTTTCCACTGGAAGAACTCTTGCACCGAATATCAATACAGGCATCACAACAGCATGTCTTTACGGTGCGAGCGCTGGGCTTGGAAAAAGAGGCTTTGCAGCAGGAGCTGTCTGTCGAACAAAGCAGGTTCACTGCGATTTACTCGGTCCTCTCCAGACTCGGCGGAGTTACACCCCAACTAGACGAGATGTTACGGCGTATTGAGAAACGCATTGATATCGCGCAAAAAAAATGGCTCGCAAATTGTACGGCTCTTTAATACAAGAGAGAAAACTACCAGTACACAGAATGAAAGATGACAACATTAAGCACCTCCCCAGAAAGGTTGGCTCTATACTGCCGTGGATTCATTTGAGGCCAATTTTCCTGAAACGGGAACGGAGGAGTGGTATATCTGAGTCGGATTCATCCTTCACGACCGCGTTTTCGTTTACTTCGGCCGGCGATGGTGCATTACTTCGGTTTGTGTGGTAATTTCCGGCGCGGTTGCGTGGTGGAGGCGATAGCCCTCGCTCACTGGCGCTTGCCTTCCCTTTCAACTCTATCTGCGTTCGCAACCCGTCCAGACGGAAGACGATGTCATCGATAATATCCAACCATTGAGCTTCTGTGCTTCCCTGGGCCGTTGACGGACTATACGTCTCATCATCATCAGAGGCAATGAAGTCTGCTAGACTACCAGTGCTATCCGACGGCTCCTCGTCGCTAGCTGGGAAGAGGTCATTAGCTGTGCAAAATTTTACCCTTGACAGCCTTACTGTGGCATTCGGAAGTTTTATTCGACATGGTGGGAGGAATTAAACGCAAGGATGTTCCACAATGGTCGAATTTGCGTTCTACAAATGATAGGCAGTGGAGGTTAACCAAACGCTGTTATGTAACTGGCAACCGACATTCACTGGAGCCAAAGTCAGCTCTAGATGACGGTCTTGAAATTGCTCCAGGCAGATACAGGATGCATTTGGCCACTATTGGCCGAACCACGCGATCAGAACAAGCATAAATAAGGTGGCTCTCGCGCCGTAAAGTTTCAGGTTATACCAACTCACTGCGCCGTAATGTCTACAGCAGCACCACTCCCACCCTCTGTTGTCCAAGGCGGGCTCCCTACCCCTGACGGTACTCCGGAGCCAGAAGATGCGAGGAACAAGGCCGAGGAAAAGCGCAAGCGAGAAGAAGAAAAGCGGCAAAAAGAAGCCGAGCAGGCAGCAACGACACGTTTTAGAGAGCGCTACGACCGCGCGAAGTCAGAAATCGACAGGCTTCAAAGCAGTAACGCTGCAGAGGCGCCTCTTGCCGTACTTGGAGTAAAAGAGGATGATGTGTCGAATATCACAATTGCCAGGGCATTCACAGAACTGGGTTGCTTAGTCCATTATAAGTACATGCCCGATGACAACCAGGAACAGGCCAAAAAGGCATTTAATGGTATGCATTACTTGTTTCAAAAGCAACAAGGAGCTAACGGAGGTAGATATAATGATCGCGGGAGAGAAGTTGCGCGTAGATGACGAGGCAAGAAAGGAAGTAGAAGATTGGGATGGGAAGAAGGATCTTCTACGACCAATTTGGCTCCAGGAGCGCTACGAACTCGCCGAAGGAAAGATCAAGTTGCTCAGCGACGCGGAATCTGCAACCAATCCCCTTGAATTACTTGGCCTTTCTAGCGAGACTGCATCCAAAGCTGCCGTTGAGTGGAAGATTACAAATCTAGGTTGTTTACTGCACTACAAATATATGCCACCAGACGAACAGCATCAGCAGAGTGCTAAAAAGGCGTTCGATGGTGAGCCTTTGGTCCTCGTGTGCTATCAACGAGATGCTAACAAGAACAGCTCTCATGAAAGTGGGAGAGACGTTGAACGTCGGAAACAATTTGCTAGATGCTGTGAGAGGTTGGAATGGGGAGCAGGATCTCCTTGGACCGCTCAAATCAGCATACTTTAAAGATCGATATGACCGTGCAGCAGCGAAACTCACAAAGCTGGAGCAGCATACTGTCCAAGACGACCCCTACGGTGTACTCGATTTGACTATGGAAGATGCAACGGACGAAGTAACCGATCGTCAGTTTAAAAAGCTTGGTTGCTTACTACACCCCAAGTATATGCCGGAGGAGAAACGGGCGAAGGTCAAAGAAGCCTTCGACAGTAGGGCTCCCATATTCAAAGAGTGCAGAGGAAAGGCTAATGAGGTCAGAGATCCTAAAGGCGGGTGAAGTACTAAACGTGGATGAGGTAGATCGAGAGGCCGTCGAAAACTGGGACGGAGAGGAGGATCTCCTCCAAGAGGATGCGACACGGCTGCATCCAACGAACGAAGTTCCAGAGCCACCCGAAGCTATCAAAAAGCTGTTCGAGGAAGCGACTCCGCATATGGTCAAATTACGCGATGATCCGTCAGACGCAGGTGCCAGAACGAACTTGGAGCAGCTAAATCTGCGGCTTCGAGAAGCAACCGGGACCTACATCGCAGAGGCTGGAGCCCAGCTAAGTGACAGAATCTGGGAGATACAAATAGACCAATTTGCAATGGCGTTTCAACAAGTCAAGGATCTAGCTCTGAAACTGGCGGAAAATCCCGCAGACGCATCTGTCCAGGCCAATCTAGACATTACGAAAAGAGGAATAGATAACGAAATTGCGCTGAAGCACTTTCCGCAGGTTTGGGCGGCGGCGCCACACCAAACGAACGAAATCCCAGAGCCGCCCGAAGCTATCAAAATGTTGTTCGAGGAAGCAACTCCGCATATGGTCAAGTTACGTGATGACCCGTCAAACGCAAGTGCCAGGACGAACTTGGAGCAGCTGAATTTGCGGCTTCAAGAAGCCACCCGGACCTACATCGCAGAGACTAGAGCTCAGCTAAGTGATGATAGCTGGGTGATAAAAATAAGCGACTTTGCAAATGCGTTCCAACAAGTCAAGGATCTAGTTCTTAAACTGGCGGAAAACCCTGCAGATGCATCTGCCCAGGCCGATTTAAATAACGCAAAACAACTGGTCGATGACGAGATTGCACTGAAGCACTTTCCGCAAAGTTGGGCTGTTACGGAAGAGCAGCTCGGAACAACAACTACGCCAACACATGGACACGACAGTCAATTTTTCTATCCATGGCCCACCCTTAAGACGCATATGGGAAAAATCATTGGCTTGACAAAGCATGGGAGGGGGTATAGGCCAATCGTAGAGTGGATGCATCAAGGGAAGATTCTTCGAACCCTTGAATCCCCATCTGAGGTCGGCTCTGACGACGTGGAAGCTTACTTGAACACGCCGAAGTCAAAGGTGTTCTTTGGAAAGGAACTACCAGAGGGCAAGAAACCGGAAGACCGACCCCGCGAATGGACTAGGAAGGACAGAGACAAGATTCAGCATGTGGATTGGGCAACTCAATCGATGGTACTGAGGAAGAACACGGCCCGCAATGATATCTCCGGAAGATGTTATGTCTGTTTCACGCTTAAAGAGCCGCTCCCAGACGGTAGACCGAATCGAGATATGGTCGATATAAGCACCCTAAGGAGGATATTTACCGAGTCGAAGGCAGATAAATTGGTCGCCGATGTCTGCAAGCGGGACAAAATATTGCCACCCTGGCAAGCCAAGCCAGTGAGTGAGTTTCATGACCCTTCTAAGAGGGAGAAAGACGTAAAGGAGAGAAGGCTGCTGCGACTTGAACTCTCGCAGAATAGCGCCCATCAGCGAGGTGCCGATTCAACTGTGACTCAGCATAACCGCGGCCATTCGAGCAGTGGTAGCTCTGATGTACTGGATCGCGGTCGCTCTGACGGAGGCTCTGGCGGTGGCTCACATGAAAATGGCAATATTGACCAACGTGTGACTCTTTTGGAAACTTCCATCACCCAAACATTCAATGACCTTCAAATGGACATTGCACGTATGCTGGAAGATACGATCAAAACTGCGCTGGATGCCGCCGTGGAGAGACAAAAATCCGATTTGTTCAAATACATTGACGAGAAAATCGCCACTGCAGTAGCGTCTGCATTTGCAAACGGACGTTCCTGAGAGGCCTTAATGCTTTTGTAGCGGTGTGAAATCTCTCGGGTGCAATGGTTACGTTCACCAGGGTTACGGTGGATTTCTGTCGTTCGGCTGCTACGCGGAGGAGAGACCTTTGACGCATCTCGTTGGTCAACATATAATTGAACTCTGAGATGCTAGAATTCAGGCTTTTTTGTAATCGTTTCTAAGGAAATGGCATTTTTGTTTATCTGCCTCGATGCAACGATGGACCTTCTCTTCTCATCAATATTTGCTTAGTCAGCTCTATACGCCGCAAAGGATGCCCCCACTTCATGTCGGCCATTTGTTGCACAGGCATGTGCTGAAGACAACAGTGTTGGCCGTGCTTTGTCGAGTGATCCAAGAAAGCACAGGGGTTTAAAGGTACAACAGAATGTAGTCGAAAGAGTGGCGGGCAGCCAAGGGTCTCCTTATGTTCGAAAGTAGTTTAACCATTCCTCTAACACGTATTGCTAGTTGTCTGTCGCGAGTTGCACCGGAAGATACTTACTCGAGCGAGCTGCCATCGTACGGGTGCTACTATTAGTCATCAGATAGAAGCGCACTGCTGTACGTAGTGCCAACGCATTTCATTGAATACAATATGTATTATTGCGTATATAGCGAGTTATCACCGCAGACAACAACGTCGCCACTACGTGAGGCGACCCGGGATCCCTTGTGTTCCTCTGCCGCCATTGACAAGCATGCACGTCGGACAGCTTCCTTAGCCCGCATAAGTCAATGCTTCTTTTTTGCCGTGAATCTCTGATCAGGTCCGCCCATACAGTATTGTACTATAGTGTCTCATAGGTCATATCGGCAAGACAGGGCGACGTTTTGCGCAAGAGACAGGATCAGGGTGCTGTCCGCTCGTCGCTATCGTTTCATCCGCCGCGAACGCGTGGTACTGTGCCGCTCGAAGCATCCCAGTGACGTTTTTAGTCCATAGCCTCAATTTACACATTAGGCTCATCCAACACAGCAGTCAGTTTCCCGGAACAACCATACCGTTCAAAGTTGCACTTCCTCCCCCGTGTAGAGAGCCTTGCAGTCTTGCACGAAGTTGTTCGACAGTTCTGGCGCTCTAGTGACGACAATGGTGTTGATATCTGAGTATTTGGCGGTTTCGTAACAATTCATTGCTGCTGCAACCGACGATAAATGTACAACGTCTGCGTTCAACTTTGGGCCGAAAAGGTACCAGCCTCCCTCCAGCAATAGCTGGGCCGTTTTGGCTACGTCCTCTTCCTTGGCTTCGCGTTCGATCCTCCAATCTGATCCGATGAGTTTTTTGAACAAAATGTTTCCTGATTGCAGCTTTTTCGAGCTTCCCAAGCTTTCATCCTCTCTTCTGCGTTTGCGAAGGCCTGTGGCTGTTGCACTCGCAGGTATTTGCGTCGTCGCAGCTTGGGTGCAGGGCTCTGCGTCCGCCATCATCTGATCCGTGGTGCGCGCTAGCTCTGTTTGGTTCGTGTGATCGTTGTGCTGCTGCAATATGACTTCCTCCGCACCGGCCCACAAAGCATCAGCCTCACCGATATGGAAGATACGCATGGGGGACCAAACAGCATAGAATGATTCTAAT